GGCATGAGAGATGGGGAATACTGGTTTCCACTACTAATCACCTTTTTATTACTGGAATGAACATTTTTGTTGTATACCATAAAATTCAAGTAAATAATAGAATTAAGACATAGTACTACAGTAAATGGAATGAAAACAACTAGTTACTGAAAACAGATAGTCCTGGGCAGATTTATACATACATGTTTATCTTTAAACAAAAAATATACTTAATGTAAAGCAGATGGCAATAGAGATGTTGCTAGGTGTATTTCTGTGCTTAAGACAGAGCCAGTCTAGATGTTTTCCCCTGCCTTTAGTCTTTAAGCTAAGCCAGGCTAACCACGTCCTGACTCCAGCTCTGTAATTACCATACAGACTTGAGAGTGAGAGGATCAGTCTTCTTCAAACTGTCAAATTGTTCCTTTAAGTACACTCATTACAATACAGTTATTTCCCAGTAATGCATCTCACAATGGTGAGCTTCATTATGTATTCATATCGCAAAACATGGGTAAAGCATGCACACAAACTAATACACAGAACAAATAGTTACGCAAAAGATATCACCTAAATATCTAGAAAAAGCAAAGACATTTTCATACATGATAGCATGTCTTAGTTTATGGCAAGCAGTGAAATTCTCTTTTTGGTTCTGCTACATGAACAGCTTGATAAAGGAGAGTTTGAGTAAGTTCACCTCTTGAAAGGAAAGGAAAGACTGCAGTCTTGTTTTTTAATTTTTTTTGGGAGTAAATTGGGGGAATGAACATCTCTCCCCTCAGCTTGACCTAACCTCTCGGCCGCCCCACCGGTACAGGCTTTTAAAAACATACCAGGCCTTCTGAAATAATAAAGCAGATAAAAACCGTCAAGTCAGTCCCACTCAGATAATAGCAACTCCCATGGACTCCGCTCCCAGAGACTGGTGGAGCATGTTTGATACGAAGGGGAATTGACTTCCTCACTAATTCTGTTGAATAAGCGTGTGTGTGTGTGTGTGTGTGTGTGTGTGTGTGTGTTTTGATGGCCATTGCCCAACTCTGTCCACTCACATCTCCACCCTGGCAGTGTGTACCCTCCAGAGACTTGTGTCAAACACACAGTCTCTTATCTAAATGTTATCCTTGCACCCTGCAGAATAAACAATGGTTGGGCCTCACACCAAAGAGACGCTGAGCATATGCTTGACCTGCTGGAATAATCAACTCTCGAGATGTGACGAGTAAAGGAAGGGCTTCCTTTTAATATAAATAAATTCTCTTTAATGAGGAAACTGCTTGTCATCAAAGATCATTAGTGGCACTTGTTCAGAAAATGGAACAAATTTTACATTAGTGTGTGTGTGTGTGTGTGTGTGTTTCTCAGGCAGTGTGTAGTGGCAAACTCCTGGGTGGGGCAAACTGATAGGTGCTTAAAGAGACATGCAAAGCAACATGTATGCACACAATAACAAAGACAACTGTAAAATATAATGCATTTTTAGCACAACAACACCATTAAATATGGCCTGTCTTGTAGTTAGTTTTTTTTTTTTTAATTGGACTGCATTTCATTGTACAGGTGTTGCTAATATTGTAAATATAGAGAAAGCACTCTTTGTCGCATACAGAGCAACACACCAGGGAATACACAAAGCTGTGAAGATGTTTGAAGCGGCTATATTTAATATATATTTTTATAGTATCAAATCAAATGACAATGTGAAAACAATCTATGAGGTGAAAGGCGTCGTAGTGATGATCCTATAGTGTATTATCATCTGAATCTGCAGCTTTGTAGCGAGTTTGAGCTCATTGTTTAGCTGTCTGCTACTTCACTTCATTCTCACTGATCTCAGAGCATCATTTTTGGCTGCAGCAAGAAGCTGTTGTCACTGGAAAAGCTGTAAGAACCCAGTGTACGCTGCTTGCTCAGCACCAAACAGTTTGCAACTAACTGGTGAATATAGAGGAGCATTTAGCAGCAAAATCACACAGTACTTCCCTCAGAGTTCATATTCATCAGGTGGACTACAAATGAATGATAATGCTGCTCTGTATCTGTTGGATATGTAAATAGGCACCTGTTTTCCAACAAGTTTGCCAAAGCAACATAAAAAGTGATGACATATCCATGTAGTGTCCACAACTTGTTTCTGCTGCCCCCAACTGGCCAGAAAAACTAGTTACTTCACAAACGGCTTATGATTTATATGATCCTCCCAGAATTCCTTGTGTGCTTAATTATTTTAATATTTTCAGGCACTTTCTCTTAAATGCCTCACAGATTTGATAAACCTTTTAAGTTTTTTTATGGACTTTTTCCTTAAATATTTTGGTAATATTAGGCCACTAGGCTCCCTACAGTAGTTCATGTTTTCCTAGATATAAGGATGTTTTTCAACAGATATCCTTTAAATTCTGTCTCCATTCTCGGCCTCGGAGGATTAAAGTGCACAAGCTTTGTTCCTTGTTATGAAGCTTTGTAGCTCGTGAACATGTTAAAGGACACATCTGGTGATTGTCTTTATTTTTCTTATTGTCAACAAATCCCAATAAAAAAGCCTAAAACCAACAATAATTTGAGCAGTGTAGAAAAAACCTGATTTACCTGATTACTCCATAGAGCTCCATTGTTGTCCCAAAAAATATTAAGAACACATAAATGAGCCACACTATGTGATCTATTCCTTCATTACGATGTTTTTTATGTTTGTGCTGTGTGTCAGCTACTCAGATTTTTGAAGTGAAGTTGCCAAAGCTCTGTGTGTGGTGATAAACAGCTAGTTTTCAAAGGTCCACCTCTTCAGCAGTGGGCAACAATGGGCTTGGGGCCGTATGTTTATCAGAAAGTATTAAGAGACGGACTGTTTGTTTTTTTCATTTGAAGTCTGACACGACATGTAAAGGTAAAATCAAGAGTTTAAGAGGTGATTGAGTCTTTCTTTTCATGCAAGAAAGCCCTTCACTTTTTGTGTTTTGGGTACTTTCTTGAGCTCTTTCTTTCCTTCGTATGTCCATTATCAAATGTCCTCCTTCGAGAGTCTGCATTCACCATTCAGCAAAGTTTATTAATACTTTCAGTGTAATTATCTTGCATGTAGCAGGAAGCAGAGAAGAGAAAACACTTGCTGTAAATGTTCACACCTGACGGGCTACCACGGCGTCTATGACCTCACATGCCTGACCTGTAGACATCCACATTAGTACACATGACATCGTGTTGGAATTACCTTCCTAAAATTACCTGTCTGGAACTTGTTTTCCTTTCTGTGTTTGTGTGTCTGTGTGTCTTCATGTGGTTTCATTTAGTTCTGCCTGTCAGAGCGACAGTTACACACTCTGCAGGAAGGAAGCAATCTGTTAGCAGAGAGCGACTCTGATGGCATTACCCTAACAAACTACTTCCATTACTCACAAGTACATTTACAAGTACAATTCTGAGGTACTTGTACTTGAGTATTGCCACTTTGTGCTACTTTATACTTTGACTCCACTACATCTCAGAGGCAAATATTAAACTTTTTACTTTTATTTTGATAACTTTAGTTACTAATTTCTTTGCAGATTAAGATTAATAAAACAAAATATAATCCCCATGATGTTTTATCTGCAATATTTTCTCTAAATATGCTGAATGTAACTATTTCCTGCCTTGACAGCCACCATACCTGATTGGGAAGGATGTAGGAAAATACTGAAATGATCTCATGACTCCTATCTTATCTCTAATTGGTGGAATTGGTGTTGTTAAAACTCTCCCCACGTTACAACCATGCCCGGTCTCCCCTACTTCTTCCACCTCGGAGTTCTTGAAAACAGGAAAACAATTTAAGAGTCTTACTTTAGAGGGTTCATGACATCAGCGTTGTAGATTGGACTATTGTCCCCACTCAGATTTAAGAGACAGGTTTATGTGCTTCTGCTGTGTCACTCTTAAGTGTGTCTTTTGTTTGCACTTGCAGCAAAGCTGAAAAACCAAAATGTCTGTCTGTCGTACCCAAGCAAACATTGTCATTACAGCCTTTAAAAACCTCTGTAGGTTATAGGCCCCCTTTTTTATATGTGTGTATGAGCCTTTCTGCATGCAGTGGTGCACATCTTTGTATGTAAGCCAGTGTGTGTCCTAGTTCAATCCTCAGCTCCCAGGCCCTTCACTGTGTAAACGGTGCTCCAATGTCAAAGGTTATGGCTGTCCTGTCCTGCGTATATCCATGGAAACATGTGGTTCCCCCCATAGAGGTGAAATTGTTGCCACTGAGCTCTACTGATGACAAATTCATTTACTTGGCAGAGTCGGGCCTTCTGCCCAAAGCCAAAGGTGAGTCCACCAGTGTGTTCTTAGCTGTTTCCTGAGCTGCACCTCACTTGTCAACGCACAGCTGAAGGTTTGAAGCTGCTCTTCAGCTCTTAACAACACAGTGTGGCTCCCAAAGACTATACTGTTTCAATGCCTCAATTACAGTTGCTCAACTCTGAAGTCTTCTACTTTAAATAGAAAACGATCTCTAGTAACACTGATCACACTAACACAAGTCCAGGTTACAGTTACCTCTAATTTGCGTTTGTGCTGTTATTGCAGATACATTTTAAATGCATTGTTTTATTTTTGGTTATGCTTGTGCTTTCCGTGTAAGCTATTTTCTTGTGATATCATCTGTAGTGTGTTTTTATTTGTGGTTTGTTTCTTTTTGTTCATAGGATATCTCAGTAACCTCACAAACAAATTTAAATTTGATGGGAAAAGATGCAGATCCAGGAAACTTTTCATTGTAATATAGGTCATTTTAAAATGTTTCATCATACAGTACCTGGTACACACATCCCTGATAGTTTATAACTAACTGAATTTGAAAGAGGTCTAGGTCGAGGTGCAGATTGAAAATATATCAACATTTTTAAAGATTGAATAACAAATGTAGTGGGAATCTGATTGATCTGATTTAGGCCATTGTATTTTAATTTCATACTTTCTTTAGCCATAGAGTGGATTTTGTGCTCATAATACAGAGGACAGACTGTCGTCTCTTGTTCCTCCAGCGGCTTTGCCCTCAGCCATCCTGACGCTGATGTTCAGTCCATACCAAAGAGGAATCTACTGCAATGATGAGAGCATCAGCTATCCATACAGGAGAGACACCATCTCCCATGGAACCATGGCTGCCGTTACCATCATCTGCTCCATCGTCATTGTGAGTCCTGAACATTGTGTCCCTCTGAGCAGTGTACACATTGATAAAAAAGATTATTTTCCTCTACAGACCATTACCAAATACTCGTCATTATGGCTCTTCTATCCACTCCACAGATCACCACTGGAGAAGCCTATCTTGTGCACACAAAGCGTCTGCGCTCAAACTCCCAGTTCAACCAGTACCTGTCAGCTCTTTATAAGGTGGTGGGCACCTTCGTGTTTGGAGGAGCCGTCAGCCAATCACTGACCGACCTGGCCAAGTTCACCATAGGTCGTCCCCGTCCGAACTTCTTAGCTGTGTGCGCCCCAGTCACCTGCAATGGATACATGCTGCAGATCAACTGCACAGGCAACCATCGCAATGTGACTGAATCCAGGTGGAGTTACTCAACACTCTCTCACTGTCCTTAATAAATTATTATTATTATTATTATTATTATTATTATTATTATTATTATTATTATAGGAGGTACAGCTTTTAAACACAGTGACATGTTTCAAGTTTCTGATATTTCAACTGATAACCACTTTAAGTCATTAAAATGAACTGTTGTCAACCCAGAAATAAGTGGGAAAATCTGACATTTTATGTTATATAACTTGATATATTTATATTATCTAGTTAATCACAAGTTTGTTTGACAGTCTGAAACCCCCCTAAATTAAAATTTTCAATTCTGTAAACCCCCCACGCGACCCTGTATGCAGGATAAGCGGTTGACGATGGATGGATGGATGAATTCTGTAAACCACGTAAAAGCAGCAAATCCTCTCATTTTAGGAGCTGGAAATCAAAAAACTGCTATTTGCTTGATGTATAAAAGAATTTTGGATTGAAACTGACATGAGAGTAGATATCATGAGGAAATGTGATTATCTGCAAGTCTTAAAATAGATTATGATGTTTTTATTTTATTTTCCATACTTACTTTCTGAACTTAATCTCACTGTTGCAGCAGAACAGTGAACATCAACTGGCTTGGTTATGACATTTATTGCTTTATGTTGATAAAATTTTTCTAATAATGTCTGTCACGAGTGCCCAAAGTGAAGTATTAAAATTGCTTATTTTGACTCCCGGTCAGTTCCCAAAAACTTTCAATCTACAGTGGCATGATATAGAAAAAAAAAAAAAGAAAAAAAAGCTAATCTTCAAATTTAAGAACCAGTAATTGTTCAGCATTAAACACATTTAGTTTTGTCAGTATGGCTGGGTTTGGACCATTGTAAAATAAAATATAATGAAATCAAAATGTCCAGTTGGAATCATTTAGGTTGGTGTATTGGTTCAGTTAGAAATATGTAATCCATTTATAACGTACTATATGGGTCAAGGTGCATATGGGCAGGTGGACAATAATTGAGTCTGACTCTAATCCTTACTCTTCGTCACTTTATCATATTTATTGAAAATCACAGATAAAAAAATGAGTGGATTTGTACATTAATTGTGTTCTCTTGCCGTTTTGCTCCTCAGGTTATCGTTCTACTCTGGCCACTCATCCTTTGGGATGTACTGCATGCTCTTTCTGTCGGTGAGTGTTGTTGTTGTGTGAGAATTTCTGTGGCTGTGAAATGACTGTTTACCAAAGACTGAACAGGACGGGCTTGGTCAACAGACACACGGCTGCTGTTTGAAAACCTTTATTGTTGTAATACTACACACTGCACAATGGCCGAGAGATTACACATTCAACAGTTTAATCCCTGTTGGAGTGTTCAGGAGTGAGATACTGCAAGCCACTTTTATATACAGCCCTGTTCTGTACCCGAGCCCGACCTCTGACCTTTCTGTGGAGTACTGGGCCAAAAGACATCTTCTCCATCATGAGAATTAATACAAGACTGTATATTCTCATAACTCATAATTTTTATGATGACATTTTAAATGAAAAGAGAGAGAGAGATGAGACATTATTTTTTATAAAAACAAATAATTTGAAATATTTCTCATATGATACATAATTCTTTGTTTTGTTAAATGTAGGTAAAATTTGGGATTTGGAAGAAGGTTTATTTTAGGGTAAATACCTTTTTGGCTAGTTTCAGGTGAGTTTGCGGTTCAGTTTCAGTTGATTTAAATGTTTTTAAAAAACAAACCTAAAAGGGGTTTTTGTACATACCAAAACTGAAATGTCTTTTTGAACAATAAAATATGGTTTCCAATGAGAAAAGGAAGCTCATGAAAAATATAAAGCATATGAGATATACAAAAAACTGTTAACACTGGACTGGCTCAGATTCTACAGATACAGTTTTAATTCAGGCACCAGTTCATTTTAAACAAGAATGTGTTTGTGTGTGTGCAGCTTTACATCCAAGCCCGGATGCAGGGCAAGTGGACACGACTGGTTCGACCAACCATACAGTTCTTCCTGGTGGCGTTTTCTCTGTATGTCGGATATACGCGCGTGTCTGACTACAAACATCACTGGAGTGATGTACTGCTGGGGCTACTGCAGGGAGCTCTCATCGCCGTGCTCACTGTGAGTTCAACAGTGTGTTTCTTTGTACAGAAAGAGACAGATTTCAATATTGAAATTTGTTGAAAAGGTTGCAGTTGTTTTAAAGCCCCTGGGGTTGCAGGGTGTTTATTACTACTACTGCAGCTCAAAAAATGATATATATATATATATATATGCACCTAACTAATTAATTAATCAGCAGGAAGTTGCCCCACAACAACCAACCAAGTGCAATACTTGTATTTGTGAGTTCCATGATACATGAGTTAACAAGGTTAACACAAGATGGAAAATTATCAAACAGCGTAGAAGTTTATAGTGTATATCAATTAACTTCCATCAGTCCCCTTTTGAAAGCTGTTGGCCAATACAGTAAGTAACATAACAACAAGCACATTTTTATTTTTTTTTCTTCACTCTTCTTGTGTCCTTTAAGGTCCGATATGTGTCTGACTTCTTCAAGGAGCGCTCCCCTCTCAGCACACAACAAGACACAGCTGAGAGTGAACACCTTGAACGCAAACCAAGCCAGCAGCCTCCCGACTCGCAGCACGGAAACCACTACAATTACTCTGGACCTGTATGAGCTCTATGCAGCAGCAGCTACTTTTACCATCCTGGGCCTACACTCTAACAGCAAACCAAAAGGACCTGTGACTTGTACAGAAAAACAAAACAACCTGCAGTAACCACTACCTGGAAATCCAGACTAGACCTGCTCCACTCTGCCGGCTTCCAAAAAAATTGTACAGCCATAAAAACTCCAAGAGATTCCCAAAACCTGTTGGAACAGAAGCTCCATCGTCTGTGTCTTTTAGTAAGGGTGTGTGTGTTCATGAAAATGTGTGATTGATTTGCAGCGTGTTTGTGTACAAGCGTACACAAGTGTGCAATGCCGTGTGTGTGTGTGTGTGTGTATATGTGTATATGTATATGTGTGTGTATATGTGTATATATATATATATATATATATATATATATATATACATATACATACATATATATATATCACACATACACATTCACACATACACACAGTGTATAAAAGTTTCAGATTTGTGGGGGAGAATTTATGCTGTAAGTTAAAGTGAGCAAAGACTGCAAAAGAGATCTGCAGATTTCAAAAATACAGCCCAAAGATTACTTTCTGTCCTTGAGTGGAATGACTAAACCTTGGAGGCTGAATGTTTCCCACTTTGTTGCTTAGTGCAGTCAGAAAAGACTTTTGTTTTACCTACACTGGAGCTAGATTATATCTGCCTGTCCTTGAGACTTCTGCCATTGTTCTCTCGCAGATGTCTCTACATTTTACTGTCTTTAGAAGATGTGCATGTGTAATGATGGACTGCTTTTAACTATATACATGATTATGTAAAGTGCTAACATTTTTATTATGTTTAACTACTGTATCTAATAAATTGTGTAGCTTTTCAAGAATATGTTACCACTGCCTTTCTGTGACGTCACTGCAAATTTTTTTGAGCTGGAAATAATTTTTCTGGATTGCACAGACAAATTTCACCTAAAGGGAATGGAGTCGAATGGAGGCGTTACTGAGACATTCATCCCATAAACCACAAACTTTTTTTTTCAGCTTCCTCGTACCTCAAATTCTTGTGGAGCCACAATTTCACTGCAAGTCTGACATGAACTGAACTAAATCTTCATAGGGCCTTTCCTTCCTTCTTAATAACATGTGTAACCTATTGTGAAACTCCCCACAATGTAATCACTTCTTTCAGCTAGTTTGTGTGTAGTTTTTCTCCATAAATATTAGCCAGCATGTTGTCTATGAGTGCTTACTAACAGAAGGGGGGGTGGGAAGAAATGCAAAGGAGTCCTTTTGTGCCGAGTTCTTTTCATGTCTGGACCTGCTGCTGACGGTTGTGGGACTCTTTACTGCCAAAGTAATGGGGCTGTGAGGCCACGTCAGAGGTAGTTTCAAAAATCAGTTCAAAGTTATTACACTGGTTAGATCAGCTGTGAATATTTTCCCCCCTCTTGCTAGAGGTATTATGTGGGGTGTTGTGACAGTACCATGCCAACATCAGTTATAAAGGGTCCCTTAAGCCATATTACAAAACATTTTCCCATGTACCCCCACTAGTATGTAATCATGGAGATAGTTTTTGTTTCATTTGTCCTGTTTTGAGATATGTATTCTGGCGCTCAAATAAAAAAATCAACATCTTTTTCAAGAAAGTGTCTAGTTACACTGGATATTCCACGCAACTTGCTAGAACTAGACTGATGAATATGCCAGGTTTATATTACTGTCAATATCGGTGTGTACAGCGAGTGAACCAACAAGAAATTGCAGTACAGAAATGTGAAGATCTGAATTGAATAAAAAAACAATGTCAATGTTAAATAATTTGTTTATTTAAAAAAATGAATATCAGCCAATATTTAATCAGATTTGTAAAGTAGGAGGTTCAAAAGGTACATTTAGTATCATCATTGGGGAACCTTGAAAATCCTCTGAACAACATTTTATTTCTTCAAACTTAAAGGTTGCATTTGTCAACATAATCAGGGAAAAAGACAAGTTGTTCAATCAGAACTGCCACCCCATGTGAAAGTGAAAGAGTGAAAGAGTGCAGTCCTTCAATAAAGTGTGAACAGGTGAATTCAAAAATGTCAGTGAGAAGGAATGAAAGGTTAAAAGCAGGAGAAATAAATTGGGGATCTTTATTATTGGTTTGTAACCCTCAAAAAATATTGGCTTCAAAAATCCAGTATCATTCGGGCACTACATCTCATTGTGAGTAGTCTTCATGTAACTAAATTACTTTCTACCCAGATCTCTATTAAGACATGTTATGGGGATTATCCAGACTAACAAGGACACTGGACAAAAAAGAGAGCTGATCACACTTAATGTTTCAAGGTTGTGAGCACCACAAACAAAATGCCATGATAAATCATCTGTACTTGTATAGCACATTTCTAGTCTTTAAACCAATCAACACGCTGTTACCATACATCATATTGACCCATTCATACACTAATGGCCGAGGGTAAGATGCCAACTGCTCATCAGAAAAAGAAATTAACATCCATACACCACCGTCACAGCCATTGGGAGCAATGTAGGTTTCAGTATTTTGCCCAAAGACACTTCAACATACAGACTGGAAAAGCTGCGGATTGAATCGCCAATATTCTGATTAGTGGACAACCGGCTGTACCTCCTGAGCCACAGCCGGGTGGCAGCAGAAAGTGAGAAAATATTGTATTTTTATTAATTTTTTTGAAATTTGGGTGAGCAAATTCTTTAAAACTATATTAGGTTAGGTACTGACTCATCCAATTAGATGCTACTAATCAAAAGGGAATGTCTTAATGTTTTTTTAAATTACACTAGCTCTCCATGTTCCTTTTATTAGAGTCATCACTATATCAAACCTCATCCCACAATTTTCATCAAGCCACAAAAGGAGAGTTGACTAACACCCCCCCCCCCCCCCCCTCCACACACACACACAAAGTTACCAACCAAAGCCAAATGACCACTCTCAATCACATCTTTTATTTGTAAGGCACCAGAGAAGCTTCCTTACTACTAAAAGGTTGATTCATTCTCATTAGAGTACACAGTTGCTTGTTTACATCTTTTGTGTTGTTGTTTTTTTGCCCCAGGTATCTTAAAATGAGACCATGTTCATAAACACGTTTTTGTTTGCACCAAAAAAAAGCAGAAGATAAAACATTTACAAACCTAGAAAACAATGTTAAGAGTTACTGCCTACTGAGAGAATGGGAGAAAAAAAAAAAAACAGGAAAAACAACATGGTATATAACATTGTGCCTCTCTTAATTGTAGGCTTGTAATGCACACATACAACACCAAATCTTCCATGATACACACACACGTTAAAAAGCAGCTTTGAAACATACAAAAATGCTTTAAAAAATATGTATATTGATATATTCATATGTATACAAATTGGCCCTTCACAGCAAAAAACAAACACACATACCATTCATATGTCTGAGTTTTGCCAAAGGAGGTTTTCTACAGAGACTGACGTCAGTATAAAGAGTGCAAATGACTAACTGATCTGTTCTCGCACTTGATATATTAAGGTCAAATCTTCAGCTCCCTAACACTAGCACAGACAGGAAGAAGAAAAAACAAACAAAAAAAAGAGCACTGCGCCACAACTTAAGTGCTTTTCAAATGAAAATACAGAGGAACAGTTTAAGCTCTGATTTCAGACATGCTCAGACGTTAAAATGTGGGTTACCAAAGCTCTGGGAAGCACTCATATTTCTGGGGAATAACGGCAAACACCTACAGTGTGCAGATGCTTGGCACAAAGTGAGGAAATGACAACGAGAAGAAAACAGCGGTGACATTAAGGTGAACATTGCAGTCTTAGGTGGACCTCTTTAGACATTCAGTAATTGTGAATGTGACTTGTAATCAATGAGAGAGCACTGCTGCCCCCTGCTGGCTTATATATGAACATTCCTATTTCTCAACGTGCCTCAGCGGAGTCCCAAATCCATACTACATAGTAGTGTTGTAGTCAAGACCGCCCAAACCGAGACCAAGTTGAGACCAAGACCGAAGGAGGGTGAGACCGAGTCAAGACCAAGACCAAATCCCCACGTTACATGACACACAATAAAATGTGCAACGAGATCATAGGTACTTCTCAAATTGATCTGAAAGATGCACATTCCCATTAAAACACCCACAAACAAACAGTAAGAGCTGAAATCAACGTAAGCATCTTTATTCAACACTCCTTTTCCACGCTTACCATTGTGGGGAGGGGTGTCATTAGCAGTAACACATTTTTAATTAGGGTTATTGGTTTCATTTGAAGCAATGTGTTTTATATCCAAAGTTAGGATGTTAACAAATAAATCAGACAATGCAAAAGCAATTTATTGATATTCCCAAAGTAAAGGTTTACTGTTCTTAAAATAAAATCCCGAATCCTCAATGTCCGAGACCGAGACAAGACAGAGTACAAATGCGGTCGAGTCTGAGACGAGACCATCAAAAAGTGGTCTTAAGACTGGTCTCCAGACCAAGACCGGTCTTGAGTACTACAATACTACTACACAGTACTAAGCCGCATACATCCTTTATAGTATTGTTTTTGCAGTTACTATAAAACAAATCAACATACTTGACAGTTTTATAACTTATACTAGTGATACAACATTAAAAGACATAAAAATGTTTTTTCCCCGTTTTCTGGTGTGTTCATGGAGAAGTTTTCCAGCTGTGCATGGCAGCTCCTCCATTTTCTTTCTGCATTGTGGGACAATAGAGTCCATCAACCGCACACTCAAAAAGCATCAGTGGTTTTTTTTGTTGTCTGCATATTGACTCTTTCAAGCACGATTTCTTCCCATGTCAACACACTCCATACTCTGCATACCCTGCTTAGTCTAAGAGCCGGGTTATGCTAGAAAAGAACTAGTTTGTACAGAGAGTCACCTGACCATGTCAGAAGGCAAAAGTGTTCTGAACGGCCACACTTTAAAGTGGGGTTAAAAACCACCCGGGTGGGACAGGTGGCGTTTGCTTTCAGAGCTACAGCGATAATTGTTTAAATATTGTGACTACATTCCACTCTTGGAAGGCATTTGCAGTGTTGCACTCATTTGTCCACGAGGAAAGTGATAAATATTTGAGTAAAGAATGAAAAAAATAGAGATAGAGAGATGTTCATATGCATTAAATGGGTGTAAATGTCGGATTCGGATAGTTATAGAAATTATCAGATGCTGCTACTCTAATTACAACGCCTGAAAAGTGTCAGCGAAGAGGGTTCCTGAAGCACAGATGAAGCAATTCTGATGACGTATTGTGGCATCTATAGTGGATTTCAAATCCATACTACATGTAAAATCTAAAAAGGCTTCTGAGTATGTGGAGTGTTAAAACTAACCTGGTTCCAGATCTCTACAACACCATCTGTACCTCCATTTTGTTTAACTGAATTCAAAAAATTTTTGTCGTTGTTGTGTAGTGAGTTTATTTTTGCTACACAATAATTTGGTCACCAGCACAAATTCTGACTGTGAGAATCATGTTTAAATATGTTGTTTTCTGAGGGAACGCTTGTTTATTGTTGGTTACAGAGCTTTAGCAACTCACCTGGGACACACTCATTATTAAAACAATGGGAAAATTAGAAAAATGGGAAGAGCTTCCCCTGACAATCACACACAAGTTAGCAAGACAGGAAAAGACAGGCGCTTGATACAGTCTCAGTATAAACTGAAATGTGCTAACTTACAGAAATACAGTACATTTATGTGTTTAACGACCGTCTGGTTCTGAAGTTTAGATCCTGTTCAAGTTTTTCTTGGTCAGTTAAAGAGTGGACCGGTGCGAGGAAGAGGCAGGAGTGGGAGGGGTGGGGTGGGAAATACAAAAGGTGCTTTTTATAAAAAAAAAAGTTAAATTAAACAAGTGTTTTCTTCTTTCCAATCACATTCACTCAAGCACACACAGACACATTTTAAATGTCTAATTAACCTGTCTTTAACGTCACAAAAACATGTCAAAATAAAGTAAAATTTTTTCAGAGCTTAAATTCTTGTCATTCCAAGACCAGTCATGGTCGGTGCCATGTAGCGCGCGTAGCAGCAGCAGCTAAGCCTATGAAACACAAATTAACCCCCTAGATGGGTATACTACCATTTGTACTAGCTATAGGTTTTTAATGTAATATAATCCCATTTATTTAGGATTGAGGTACACAGCTAAAAGGTAACGCATCCAGTGGTTGGTCTTATGACGGGAAAAAAAAATAACAAAAAGGTGAAAAGAAGCATCGGTTAGAAGGGTTTGAATGCACCGGACAAGTGAAACATCCCTTTAAAAAGATCCCATTTAATAGCAGACTAAGATTCAATTTCACTCCAATAAAGAAATGAATGATATCACTGTCCAAAACAGCTCTAGTCAACATTTTTATTTTATTTTGGAAAAAAGTTGATGGCGCTGTTGTACGTAATGAGGAGGTAAAGGACTTATAAGGAACTGAGATGTTGTAAAAACTGTGTACTGTGACTGGCGACAGGATCCAGTAAGAAACAATCAGAGGGACTAAAGCAACAGATCTGATAACAAAAAAAGTAAGAAATATAAACCTGTGAGAGGCAGATCCATGTAAGGGACACTGCTGTTAGCTTTTATCCTCAGCTCTCACACCAAATGGGAAAACATTTATCTTGGTTAAGCTTAATAGTGGCTTATACTAAAAAAAAAAAAAGAAGCATCTATGTAATGTCTAGAAGCCTGAAGCCTTATTATCACTAAATAATAAGAACATTTAACTCTCAGCCATTCAGCAGTTTCGTTCTCTGCACATCCAAAAGTTTCAATTCTGTCCTCTTCTCTTATCATCCCTGCAGTTACTCTTCTACATCAACACTCAGCAGACAGGCAGCCAGACTTACATCAATCTCCATTTACAGTTTTACCTTTCTTTTTCCCCCCCCTCAACACTCCATTCCCCCCTCCAAAACCTTCATGTCGTGTCTGCACTAGTCTGACTTGTCGCCGTCCTCTCCTCGGGGCGCTCTCTCCGCGGCTTCCCTGGCCTTGTCCTCCTTCACCGCCTGGGCCTGGCCGTGGGAGTAGTTGGCCAGGATGGAGGAAAGGGAGAGCAGGCCAGAGCTGGAGGACACAGCGGGCAGGGTGGGAGGGGTGAGGCCCAGGGGTAGTGGGGTCACCGGCAGGGCCAGGCCCTGCAGCTGGGACAGGTGTTGCACCTGGAGCTGTTGCTGAAAACAGGCATGGTACAATACGTTAGAGGTTGTGCTTTCTGTACCTGACAATGCAGCACATTGTTCTTATTTAGTGCATGTTTCTATAAACATAATATTGCCCACTTTGCATGTCTTGTATTATGTGCTTCTGTGCTGCATGTTTTGAATAGCTCAGCATGCTTATAAATGATTTCAATAACTTAGTTGTTTTATTTTGGATAACTTTGGAACATTTGTCAAGGGACTACAGATGAAAAATAACCTCTTGGCTAACACTGGCTCATTTTCAAGCAATGTTTATTAATGTGTGCTATCCTTGTTAAATACACACAAAACCTAAAAAGGGGTGAATCGTCTCTACACTGTATTTTAGGATGTTTTGCTTTTAAATCCTTGTCACACCTTAAAATGACATATCAAAGTTTATCCATTAAATAGTTGGTGCTCAAATAGTTTACTTTTTAAGCTATCATAGCTGGCAAGCTACCCATTAACATGCTAGCCAACCACATACATGCTAGAGCTACTCAGTCATAATAGCTATGTTAGCAAGCTAGCTAGCCTGCCAACTGTCAGCTAGGAACCCAACTGGCTTGCAAGTATTTTTATTGCCATTACTACTTACTAACTTATTCTGTTTAAACAAGAAACTTATGTTGGGTTCATATCACTATCTTGGTATATTAGGAAACCTTACTATAAACTATAAATTATAAAAAGATCCTCTCAATACATGACGAGTCATTGTAGTCTACTGGCTAGAAAAATGGACAATGAATGGTTTATATATGGTTTGATTTAGTTTTATTTCATGCTTGGGATGAGACAAGATTCATCCATCATCAAGCCTTTACTCGTTTATGAAGCCCACCCGTATGATGGAGTTCATCTCAGGGGGTGTGACTTGCTTGGCTCTCTCTATGGCGCCCATGACTTGCTGTTGATGCTGAAACACACATGGTAAGAAACACAAACTTGTTAAGTGATCTAAGTGCATTAACATAGCTAGGGCTGACCCCGAATAGTCGAAGATTTGATGCTTCGATGGGCGGAGGAAAAAAAAGGATTGTGCCATTTTGGCAATATGGGGAAGCTCAAAGTCTGATTTTACATAAAACTACCAGTTTTCTCCCAATAAGTTAATATACAGCCTATTACAATATACATTTCAACGTTTAATGCTGTAAATAAACATGTAAAAAGAAAAAAAAGCTTCCAATAAATGTTGCGTAAATAAATCCAAAATTGAAACCCTAACCCTGGGTGGTCAGTGCGCATGTGTAGGCGTAGCGTGAACGTTTGTAGTGGCAGGAGGAACACTTTCTGAAGAGATGGAGCCACAGCTTCACCAGTGTGGTGCAGAGTTGTTCGCACCTCGCTGGACTTTCTGATAATTTATCAACGTTGATGAACCACACAAAGAATATTTTATCATTTTTAAAGAGCTGCTACTTGTAATAGACCCGTGAGGAACCGCGACGTGCATGCAGTTGTGCAGCACAGCAAAAACTTTGCACAAGACCGGTGAATGGCAGGGGCGAGAGAGAGAGAGAGAAAATAGTCTACAATAAGCCTCAGTTTAACTTCGGCTCGCAATCGCCATGTACAAAAACACGATTCGACTATAGGTAGGACTTCCGATTCAACTATGTAAATCCTTAGTCGGGGACAGCCCTAAACATAGCTCGTAATCTTCAAACACAAGAGAGGACAAGTGACGAAGATTGGATAATTTTTTGTAGAAAAGTCAGACACTTTGACAGAAACAGATTGTTAACTGTAAAACTTTAATAGCCTGGGCTTTTATTTGCTTAAATCACCGAACTCACCCTGCCTATATTTGGGACAGGCCTTTAATTCCTTTACGATGCTTGTAAATCTGAATGAACTGCTTTTGTGCTCATTGTTTCCATAAAAGTAAGGTATTGAATTGTGGAGAATCTAACCGATCTAACAACGTGTATCATGTGCATGTTGAAAAAAAGTTGAAACGTTTATTTTGGTATGCACAGTCTAATCAGCTTAGAACTAGCTCAAGCAGGTGACCTGGTGGGCTTCAAAAGGTTTTATACATCCAAAGAACTTATATTAAAACCAGACCAGGCTTCTAATTGAGACCTGCTTTTACTTGCCAAAACGTGTAGCCACACCAGGCCAGTAAAAGAGACAGGTTTCTAATCGGGACTAGGCTTTAAAATGTAGTTTTACAGTATATGGCTTAAAGAATAAATAGCAAAATATTAAGCTTGTCAAAAGGTTGACAGCTTAGATAAATACAACCAAAATGTAGATTATAAAAGGAAAAGCTAGCTGCTCGACTGTTGATTAGCCGACAAAAATTCCCGCTAGGCAGAGATTCTCAGGCGCTACAGGTGGATGTTGAACATATTCGTGAACGTGTGAGTGTCATTACCTCTTGTGACAGATAAGGCAGCACCTGAGCACAGATCCCATTCAGTCTCTTCACTATTTCAGCCTGAAAAGGAAAAAGAAGGAGAATATAAAATAAAATAAAAAGGGAGGACAGGCAAAGTACCAGATCTGTGCAACTAAAAAGGATTCATTATAGGAGACGGCGATTACCTGTTTGTGCATTTCAATATTCAGCCCGTAGGACATTTCATAGTACTACAAAACAAAGAGGGAGAGCAAGACAAACAATAAAATAAACTGAAGCTTTAGACTTTCTGTACATTATTATACACCAATACAAGCCTGCTTTGAAAGCAAATTGCTGTTGCTGATCATGTGATCAAGTGAAGCTGAGGAAGCCGCTAAGTGTTCACTCATAAATATGGGATTATGTGCAACTGAACGAACAAATGGAGACGATCTGAACATTCCTGGTGTGCGCTGGAATTTCTACGCTTATACCGCAACACTAAGTGACTTTGACAGGAGATCAGATCAAGATAAACAGAAACAGCTCACTGACAAAAGAGTTAATGCAGCACTTACCATGATATAGTGGCGCTGCATCTCTGACTTTTCAGACGCCAGCTTATCACACTCCAACTTCAAACTGGGTAGAAAGAGAATATAAATATGAAACAACGAAAGGCAAAACATATGCATCCGTTCTGCCAAGGAATAGTTTGACTTTTTGGGAATTACACTAACATGCATCTATGTTAACGCAGTTGACATGCTAATCAGATTTTTGAGTTGTATTAAGCATTGCCCTCCCAGATAACAACAAAAATTTAGCTCAAAGCCCATCTCAATTTTAGTTGCATTTCTGAATGGGCAGACAAGCTACCTTGAAAAAAGCGATTCCAACCAAGGTCAATTGCATTTGTCATAAGAATAAACTATGGTTACTTTTTCAGACTGAAATTATATTAAGTGTTTGTACACTTGTGTTAGCTGCATACCTGTGGTACTGTGCTTGGAGGAACTGGAACTCATCCTTGATGCGGTCACAGGAGTCAGATGTGGTGAACTTGAGGGGTTGGCTGGACTGAGAGGATGCCTGGGAAACAACAACATGATCAGTCTGTATGAATCCAAACGGAGGCCTAAATTACATCCGGCTTCATGTCTAGGTGTGTGTGTACAGAAAAAAAAAATGAGAAAAAGAAGCAGACAGTGTGTTTAACTTAGCAAATTAATTAAGTGTTAATCTGTCTTTAGAAAACTGACGGCTCAACTCTTTCAGGACTGCCGGGCGTGGTGATAGAGGAAATGTGTTTACAGAAGGCAAGATTAAAGTGTGTCCATGCTGACCATATGTGAGAGGTATTAAGAGGCTGCATTAGAAGTCCAGATATGTATAGACTACACTTCACCATCAGTCCAAAGCTGTAATCCAGGGTTTATCTAATGCCCTAAAACTCATTACTCTCTATCAAAGTGACGCAAGTGCAAGAGGTTTCCAGTGGGATTATGAGACTGAACAGAGAGGATAGAGTCACCTGGTTTTCACAGAGGTCAAAAACAAATGTACTGCAGGTATTATAGTGCTGAAACTATTAGTCGATTCATTGAATCTGGGAAATGTTTGATAGGCATGCTTCATTGTTCTTTGTACACACACACATACACATATACATACATACACACATATACACACACGTGTGTGTGTGTGTGTGTGTGTGTGTGTGTGTGTTTTTAACAAATATTTGACATGTGATCTTATATGACCATGAGACACAACTGTGGAGGTGTTTGCGGTGGTGCTTCGGTTTATGGTCTGTGTTATTTGTGTATACTTGTGCCGCGCTTCCCTCACCTGTGGTTAACAAGTGTGACTTCCTGCTTTGGGTGTTTGTTGTTTAATGCAGTTTGTCTGGCATTAGCAAGTCATAAAAATTCTTCTATTATAATGTTAAACATATCAAACCAAGAATACAGCTGCACCCAACGATCATGTTTGTTATAGATTGTTTTTTCCCCTCAAGTTTTCAGTTGTTAAATAAAATGTCAGAACAGTCAGAAAATAGTAAGAAATCCCCTTCATAGTGTCTCAGTGAACAAGTTGACATACTTAAACTAGGGCTGCAATGAACGATTATTCTCATTATCGATTCACCTGCACGTCATTTTCTCAATTAATAGATTAATAATTTTTGGCGTAGAAAATGTTGAGAAATAGTGAAAAATGCCCTGTGTAATTTCACCGAGCCCAAGGTAACGTCTTCAAATGTCATATTTTTTCTGACCTAACAGTCAAAAAATCCATTGCTATTCAGTTTACTATTATGTATGACAAAGAAAAACATAATTGTCACATTTGAGAAGCAGGAAACCAGCAACTGTTTGGCTTTTTATGCTTAAATCCAATCAAATCTAAAAGGATTATTTGATCATCAAAATAGGTGCAAATTAATTTTATTTCAATCGAATAATCGATCAACTAATCATTACGGCTCTAATTTAAATTGATTGTTTTGTCCCACCAACAGTCCAAAACTGAAAAATATTCAGTTTACCATCATGGAGGACCAAGATAACCAGCATATAGCATATATTTCTTGCTTAAAAAATTACTCAAACGATAATTTAAAAAGTTGCAGATTAATTTATTGTCGATCCACTACATGATTCATTGTTTTCTTGAGCTGCTTGATTAGTAGATTAACTGATTAGGAAAAAATGCCAAAACTAGCTTCTCCATTGTGAAGACTTGCTGCTTTTTTTGTGTTTATCATTGTAAACTGGATATCTTGAGGTTTTGGTCTGTTGGTGAGGCAAAATAACACATCTGAAGACATCTCCTTGGATTTTGTACAATATATCTAGAAAACAATCTGCAGATTAGGGTTGCAACTGACGATTATTTTCAATACCAATTAATATTTCACAAAATGGTGAAAAGTATCGATCATTGTTTCCCAAAACGACGTTATCAAATGTCTTGATTTGTCCACAACCCAAAGATATTCTGTTTTGTCATAGAAGAGTGAAGAAACCGGAAAATACTCACATTTGAGAAGAAATTTGACTTTTTTTTTTGAGAAATGACTTAGAACGATGAATTGATTATCAAAATAGTTGGCGATTAGTTTAATAGTTGGAATCTAATCGATTAATCGACTAATTGCTGCAGCTCTGCAGATGAATAGACAATGACACTAATATTTTCACCTCTTCACATTTTTTCCAAATATTAATACTCATTAGTGAGCAAACTGCTGTAACATGATCTTCAGTTAGGGTCTTTTTCAAGAAGTGTATACTTGTGGTTGAACCTCTTTCTTCATTTAGCCATCGTTGAAAAACTCCTTTTCTACACTTGCTGGTTGTTGATTCTTAATGCAGTTAGCTGAACAATAGTTGGTCATGACTTCCTAGACTGTTATTTTAGAAATATTTAATGATTTATGCAGATTTTAGGGGGGCTTTGAAGAGCACTTATCAGTCTCATTTTACTTTAAACTCATCTGTACCTATGCTGTTTTATGGAGCTCTTTTTTTAAATTTGTGTTTTTACAGTTGATAAACTGAAATTCAGCCAAATATTTGCAGCAGTGTAAGTTATTTTAATCAAACAATTTCAGAGATAAAATCTTTTCCCACCCTGTGTCAAGACAGGTTTGTTTTTTTTAAATCAAGGTAGACTGTTGTATATACATTTTGCTGCACCCTTTTATTCATGCACTTTGGTTTGTTGACAGTAGAAACAGTTAATTAAGCTAACCAACGTAGAAAACCTCTCACACTCAACAATCAACTTAAATTAGCTATTTTGACTAGCAGCTACCTAGCTACACACTGTGAATATCAGCCAAATACAGCTAAGCAAGTGTTACAGCGAGTATACAGATTCATTTAAAGTGTTGGGCTGCCGTCTGTACTGCACCACCACGCCACAAACGTCGTGATGAGATGTGGAGAGGTCCGGCATTGTGTCACAAGCTGACAGCAACCTGCAGCCTCAGAGCTAGTATCAGCTGTCGGCTGCTAGCTAGCGTTAGCTCAGCTTGCTTTAGCTGTTTAGTTTCATACTGGGACAAGTTCAACTAGCAAACTTACCGAGTGCCTTGATTGAGGAAACATCATGTCAGCAGTGTGTTTCGTCGTGGTTCCTTGTTCTAGTCGAATTACCAGGCTAGCTGGCTAAGCTAACAGGTCCCCAGATATAATTAAATGATTGGAGACGCTATTCGCACTTTGTACTCTGTCATCGTTTAAAATAACGTTAGCTAACGTCAAAGCAGCAGGAGCCGAAGATCGTTTTCTGGTCTCTGCGGTCCGAGAAAGCGCCAAGTCCGGGGATGACTAGACTAACAAAAAGAAAACGGTCTTCAAAGGAACATTAGGTTTTTTTGGAATAACGTTAACGCTACACCTCCCCGGGGAAACCCTGGATGTTGACACATGAGCCCCCGACTTTCCTCTGCTTTGAAGAGAAAAGCAGTATCACCCGGAAACCAAACCGAGCCGCGGAGAAGCGGGCGCCCCGTGCGCCACAGAGCTGAACTGACCCGCTCACCGCAACAGCCAGGGCCGCAGCTAGAGCTCCTGGAGCCCAGGAGTAGAGTCTGACCCCCAGGGCAGGGGATTTACCAAGAATGTTGATTTATTTGACGATTATTTATTAGCCTAATTGATTGTTTAATTAATCGATTGTTGTTTGGTCATTAATATATCACAAAATGGTGAAAAATGCCATCCTTGCTTCCCGAAGCCCAAGATTACATCCTTAAATATCCTCTTTTGTCCACAACCCAAATACGTTCAGTTTACTGTCAAAGAAACCAGAAAATATTCACATTGAGAAGTTGAAATCAGAGAAAATTTTTTCTTTGAAAAACTAATGGATATTAATGGTTGACAACTAATAGTTGCCGCTCTACCAGATGAATAAATAATCAAAATAATTTTCAGTTTTAGCCTTAATTCTTCCACCTCTTTACATTTTTACCAAATATTAATACTCATTAGCGAGCAAACTGCTGTAACAGGATCCACTATTTAGGGCCCAAGCACGAAATGTGTGAGGTCCCAATTAAAACTGAAGGGATTTCTTTTTTCCTGCAAAGTAACCTCAATTTTGGGGGCCTAAACATGCTCAAAAACTCACCAAACTTTGCACATAATTCAGACGCGGCAAAGAATTTCGCATTTTATGGGTTTTGCGCATGGGCGTGGCAAAATGGCTGGCTAGCGCTCCCTACAGAGCAGCCCCCGGACAAAGTTTCACCTACATGTACTAAATTTCTGTGGTACGTGTGTCATGTCCAGACGCACAAAAAAGACTCTCGAAGCCATTGCCTAAACCAAACTGGAGGTCGGCCATTTTGGATTTAACGGTCATTTTTGGCGATTTACACACTTTGTACTTAAACGAACTCCTCCTAGGGATTTAGTCCGACCGACTTCAGATTTGTGCTGTGCAGTCTAAACCCCTTGACGATTAAAAGTTGAGCAAACAGTGAGTTTTTGTGGAACTCCGTGCCCATGGTGTGGAGTCCAAAATAGATGATTCGTCATTAAACAGGAAGTTATTGTAACTTCAGCCTACATGCTCACATCTGCACCAAATTTTGAGTACATTATAGTCCCGCCTTGAACACATCCATATGCCAATATTTACTCAAAGTCATAGCGCCACCTACTGGCAACAGGAAATGACATGTTGTACTACTCTGAGCAGGTTGGACATATGAACTTCAAAACTGTACCAGGAAACCCTTAACAAATTGATGAGGCCATGTTGTGAATTTTCAGTTGCCAACATTCACCCATTGTCATAGCACCACCTGCTGGCAACAGGAAATCTCTTTTAACGAATCAGCCCCCGTGGCACATTTCACCTACATGTATGAAATTTCTGTGGTACATGTATCATGTCCAGATGCACCAAAAAGCCTCTTGGAACCTAACAGGAAGTCGGCCATTTTGAATTTTACGGTAATTTTTGGATGATTTACACTCCGTACTTTAACAAACTCCTCCTAGGGATTTAGTCCGATCGACTTCAAATTTCTGCTGTGCCTTCTAATGGCATTGACGATGAGAAGTTGTTATAACTTCAGTGTGCAAGCTCAGATCTGGAGGGTGGTGATGGTACAGTGGATAAGACACTTTCCTTTGGTGTGGGTTAAATCCCCCACTGTGACCCATCCACCAATGTGTCCCTGAGCAAGACACTTAACCCCTAGTTGCTCCAGAGGCGTGTGACCTCTGAAATGTATAGCAATTGTAAGTCGCTTTGGATAAAAGCGTCAGCTAAATTAATGTAATGTAATGTAATCTGCACCAAACTGTACATGTAAGATGCCAACAAACACACAATGTCATAGCGCCACCTGCTGGCAACAGGAAGTGTCAAGTTTTACGCTGTAATGTACTATTCCAAACATATTTGCCTCATCCACTTCAAAACAGTCTCAGAAGAGCCTTAAGCCTTAATAAGGGCGTGTCCTTGGCGTCAAATTTCAATGCTTCGCATGGAACAGGAAGTTGTTGTAACTTCGCTGTACATGCTCATATCCCTACCAAATTCCACACATTTCATAAGGGTCACACCCTGAACACATCTACAGGTCAAAATTCACTCAACCTCATAGCGCTACCTGCTGGAATCAGGAAGTGTCCCTTCAAAGATGCAGCCCCTGTGCACTGAATCACCAAGATGTACAAAACGTTTGTGGTACATGTATCATCCCAAGACGCACTAAAAAGCCTTTTGGAGCAATACCCAAAATCAGCCATTTTGATTTGAATGTGCAATTACAGCCCATTTATGGCCTTTTACAAGGTCCATACATTAACAAACTCCTCCTAGGGAATTAATCAGATCGACTTAAATTTTCTACTGTGCACTCTGAAGGCATTGATGATGAAAAGTTCTGTGAGTTTTCGTCGCCGTGGTGTGGCGTCAGAGATCAACGGTTTGCCATAATACAGAAAGTTATAACTTTAGTGTACATACTCCGATCTGTACCAAACTTTACATGATTGATAACAGTCCCATCCTAAACACATCTACGTGAAAATATTCACTCAACATCATAGCGCCACACACTGGTAACAGGAAGTAAGCCGTTTGATAAACATGGCCGCCTCACACCTTGACGCGCTACACATGCAAGAGTCTGCCCAACACTGCTTGCAGCTTTAATGTTGGGATTTTTTCTAGTGGTGCTGGATTATCAACCGGCAGGTATCCCAGATGGACATTTACTGTACATCTATTGTTTTTAGTAATTTAATCAAGTGAAAATTTGTTAGGGCATTCACACCATTAAAATTCAGTATCAACTAAGGTGATACAACCTAAAGATATGGCTATATATTGTGCTGGGGTCATGTGTGAAAATATGGCCTTTTATTGTAGCCAGCCTAAGGCACACCTGTGAAATACCCATGTCTGTCATCTTGAAATGCCACACCTGAGGTGGATGGATTATCTCGGCAAAGAGAAGTCCTCACTAACACAGATTTTTACAGATTTGGGATGGATATTAGAGAGAAATAGGCCTTTTGTGTACATAGAGAAAGACAAAAACAAAAGTGTTGTGTTTATATTTTTGTTCAGTGTATGTACTTCATGCTATATTTACATGCTGTACATCTTTACTTAGGAGTCTTCGGACTTTTTTAATCCAAACTGTACTACAAATTGTGTGACACACCGTAAATTTGAGGTATTATTCTTGCATAAGAGTGGCCTGTACTGGTGTGTTTCTCTGCGAATGTGTTGTCAGCTGTTAGCACTATACTGACTGGGCACATGGAGGGTACAGGATAAACAATACACAGAGGTCAGTGGCAGCCCAACAGCAAATCTGCACCCCATGCCCCTGTTACAGGTTAATCCCACCTAAACCACACCTTATTGCCAATACAAAGCAACCATTACATTATTTGACATAGACTTCAAAGAAAGAAAAAAAAAATATTTATAAATAAATAACCCTAAAGCCCAGATGTGTAGAGTTTTGTTACTACAGTATCTTTCAGAATTTTTTGATTGTTTTGGTTTATAGAGAAGGAGACAATGACAACTGGTGCAGTTTGTGTGTTGTTCTTGGCCATTTATTGTCAGGATCCCCAGGTGGCATTTGTTGGGGTTGGGGAGACATCTGTGTCACATTTTGCCTTCATTATACTACCACGAGTTGCTTAAATCAGAACATTTCAAATCCTATACATAGTAGTTTGAAGATGAAAACGCCATGATTTTGTAATGACATCTTCAAATCCCCCGAATGTAATACAGTGCCCCAAAAAATAATTTATAGCGACCTTCAAAAACCTGAACATGTTCCTCCACCCAGCTGTCAGCCAGGAGCTGCCCAACCCAATATTGCACCCCCAAATGTTCTGTTTTTGAAGGTGCTGGTGGTTATTTTAACTAAACCAGAAACACAAAGGGTTTTAACATTTTAAATTTATTTGTTGGCCGGTGGCTGCTTGGTTTGTTTACACTGCTGCCCAGCTCTACTGCAGCCACAATATACTAATATGACATTAAAAGAGAAAACACTGATAACCAGCCAAGGGCTCCAGTAGGGGACCATCTTCACCGTCAGTAGAGCTTAGTTATACACAGAGCAGTATCAACAGTCAGAATAATCTGGTCCTACCTTTAGCTTTAAAAATGCAGCTACAGCATGATGGCATTATACACCTTGAAGGATATTATACAAAAAATAAGCAAATGAAATCACAGAAACCGTCAGAGGGGGCCACATGAAGGTCCACAAGAGCAAAGGAATCTTCTTGAGGAAAAAAAAAAAAATTCATGTGAGCAAAAACAAAACAAATACAACCATATGCTCCCATTGCGAATTATTTTAAATTTGAAACTTTAGATCCTTTAAGATCTCACTAATCTTATTTTGAGATTTATAATGATAGACAACATACTAGATCTTTGCCATCTGGGGTGTCTTGGACATCAAAAATGTAATATTCGTAACACTGAGTGACTTCTGAAACATGTCAAGTTACCTCAGACTTCTACAACTTAAAACATACAAAATCAGGAAACCCACTCAACACGCACACCATGAGCAAGTATAGGAACAAATTTATTTCAATTTAAAACAGATACCTTGTCATTATGTTTCTCTCTTAGAAGGCGGCAATGATCATAAGTCATGTTCATGTTTGAATGAGGATCAGGCAACAGTGGTTGAAACAAATACATGAAACATTAAAAAAAAATATGGCAAGAGTTATGTAAATCAATAATCGATAACCAACTGATTGAACCCCCTTCATCAAGGGCTCTGCTTCAATGAAAACATCAAAGCCCTCACTTCCAACACAAAATAAACAGCACATGCAATTATAATTACAGTTTCTTAAAAAACAGCAGGTTATCCTTTAAATCTTCAATCTTAAATACAGAATAAAGTCTTTGTGTGTACTTATTCATCTATCCTTTTAGTCTCCGGCGTGTTTTATTTAAAAAGGAGGACCATCTCAGGTGGTCCTTTGATGATGACCACAGCGTTGGCACTTAGAGAGAGCGGGGTTGGCACACTCAGTATAATACATCATTTACATTTGGTTTACATACAAAATAAAGAAAAGAAAAAAACAGCATTTTATACACCACTACACAACTGACCTTCAGGTTTCATTGGAGTGAGGAAAAATAAAATCAAGTGGTCCTAAATAATAGTGTTCTGGTAATGTTTTCTTATCATACAGGAAATAAAAAACAAAAAAAACAAAAAGGGAACAGGATTTAAGTTTGGAATATGCACTGACTCCAAGCCAATGTCTA